TGAAACCTCTGCCTCCCACGCTCAAGCCAACCTCCCACCTCAGCCTCTCAAGTAGCTGGGACTACAGGTATGTGCCACTATGCCTGGCTAATTTTTGTACTTTTATAGAGACAGGGTTTCACCATGTTGGCCAGCCTGGTCTCGAACTCCTGGGCTCAAGCAATCTGCCCACTTCAGCCTCCCAAAGTACTGGGATTACAGGCATGAGCCGCTGCACCCAGCCCTCTCCTACTTTAAAACAAACAAAAACACTATGACATTCTCTCTGTTCCTTCCATCTCTTATTTTCTGTACCACCAAACCTACTATAGATGTACCTCCAATTTCTCCAACAGTTCTTTACCCATGGATATCTAGTTTCACCTCCCTCCATGAGGAGCTGGAGATTCAGAAGGGATGGGTTATCTTAAGTAGCCAAGGTAGTATTACTAGCAAGTAGCAGAGCTCAGATTCACTTCAAAGACCAGGCTCTCACTCTTCTTGTTATCACACTGGCTCAAATGAGAGGCAAACTAGAAGAAAAGACAGGTTCTAGGTTTCAGGAGGCCATGGATGCCTGAATCAGTAGCACACTGTCTAGGACAGAGGTTAGGAGTAAGGTCTGGAGTCAAAAGCCTGAGTTTATCTCCACCTTCCTCTGCTTGTGAGACTTTGGGAAAACTGTTTAGTCTCTCCATGTGTCCATTTCCGTATCTGTAAAATGGGGATAAGAACAATGCCTACCCTTTAGGGTTATCATGAGATATTACATGAAAAGGAGACTTTAGCACTGGGACTGCTACATAATAAGTGCTCCATAAAAGCTAAGGGAAAATAGATCCTTGTAAGTTTCTTAGTGTAGACATAACAACAATAAAGCAAAGTTTCCAGAGATTACTTCATACGGGTTGAGTACTCCTTATCTAAATTCCATGGAGAACCAGAAGTAATTCAGATTTTGGATTTATTCAGATTTTGAAGTAGTTGATTTTGAAGTAGTTACACCTACTAGATAAGCATCCCAAATCCAAAAATCCAAAATCAGAAATGCTCGAATGATCATTTCCTTTGAGTTTCATGTTGGTACTCAAAAGATCTCAGATTTTTAAACATTTCAGATTTCGGATTTGCAGATTTGAGATGCTCAGCCTGTACTGGACTGCAGGTGGATTAAAAAGGGCAAGGATTCCAAGGGGAGAAAAAAGAGCTAAAATAATTCAGGGAGGTATGTCTAGTTACAACTGTAACAGCCTCTTCCTGGCTTCTAAGAAGGATGCAGACACCACCAATCACTCCAGTGTAGTGAACAAGGACAAAGAAGAAAGAACAAGTCATGTGACCTTTGGGGATAATACTGCAATACTAGAGAAATGCCAATAATAATGGCATAACTTAAGTATACAGATGTTATTCCCAACATTCACATTCTATAAATAAGTTTTATAACCACAATATGAAAAAATGAAAAACAACTAGTGATGATTACATTAGGAAATATTTCATACATGTGCATATGCACATGCACACA